GGCGTCGACCTACTCTAACACGACTTCCATGAGCAAATTGGCCGACTCCTTCTTGTTCCCGGCAGACGAGATCCGTTTGAACCAGATGGGGGCGGTTGCTGCCGCTGACTGGGGGGTATCCCGTGCTTTTCAGGTAGGGCAGGAGTTTTATTTTATTGTGTTCATCGTGGTTTTATATTGATGAAATCATTTTGTTATGCAAGCATTCACGAGCAGTCTGCATCTGAAGAAGTCCATAGTGGCGTAGGAGAAGAGGATACAGGATGTGTCCAAGGCGAACACCAGTTTGCGCCAAAGGGAGGCAGCAGCCTAGAAGGCCGAGCAGGAGAGCCAACAGTGTCTGAAGGCGGCCGAGCGTGAGTTGGAGAGGTTGAGGAGAGAGTTAGCCGAGAAGACTACAGAGGTTAAGTCCCTCAAGGAGCAGTGCCTCACCATTGTTGATGATGCCATTATTAGGGCCCAGGGGGAACTCATGCTCGAGTACAAGGCCGAGAACACTTCTCACTGGAATCCAGATGAGGACATCCAGCTCATGCAGGAGATGTTGGAGGAGGGGGCTGAGCATACGAAGGAGCAGATTGATGAGTAGGTGCTCGATTTTGCTTGCCAACTGGGGCCATCGATTACTAAGGATGTGAGCGAACAGGTTGTAGGGACGGGTGCGGGTGCGGGTGTTGGCGTTGGTGATGGGGTGACCGAGTCCGAGTTGGGAGAGACGACTCGCATCGATGACACTTAGCTTTATTTTTGCTTTGCTCATGTATTTTGGGGCTTACGATGCCCTTTCTTGGCATGTGTGCCTTTTATTATATTTCTGAACTGAGCTGCTTGAGGCTGTTTATATGTTAATACTTGCTATTCTGTTTTTTATTCTTTCCTGATGGGTGAATGAGTTGTTGATTGCTTTTTTGTTCGTATATGCACTAGGTGTTGAACTCTTATGCTTGTGTTGTGATTTTGGTGCAACCTAGTGGCTGAGTCGTGTAGACTCTCTGTTAGGCTGGGTCGATGACTTGTCAATTTAGAGGTGTAAGAACCCTTCACTCGGTCTGGTTGACTGGACATGTAGCTTCATGGACCGGGCGGGGCCGATCTAAGGATTAGTGTTGATCCGAAGGTGTAAATCCGTGGATCGAGCAGGGTCGATCCGAAAGTGCAAATCCATGAATCGAGCAGGGTCGATCTGAAGGTGTAAATCCATGAATCGAACAAGGTCAATCCGAAGGTGTAAGTCCGTGAATCGAGCAGGGTTGATTCGAATGTGTAAATCCGTGAATCGAGCAGGGTCGATCCGAAGGTGTAAATCCATGGATCGGGCAAGGCCAATCCGAAGGTGTAAATTGCTGAATAATATGTAAACTCATTGATCGGACAGGCCGACAGAAGATGTAAATTGCTGAATAATACTTCATTGAAATCAGGCCATGAGACCGATTGTCTATGAAGGAGGTGGATAGGCCCACTCATCCCTTTTAATTAAAAACAAAAAGAAAACAAACATGTAAACGAATGAGTTCACCTAAAAGTAGTAGCGTTTGAGGTGGACTACATTCCAATTGTTGTTGATGTCTTTACCTTTGGTAGTCTGGAGTCGGTAGGCACCCTTCCCCGCTTCTTTGATGATCTTGTAGGGACCTTCCCAGGTGGGTCCGAGTTTGCCAGAGTTGATCTCTTTAGTGTTTTGAAAGACCTTGCGGAGGACCCAGTCGCATGTTTTGAAAGTTATAATCCTCACGTTGCGGTTGTAGTGTCGGGCAGCTTGTTGTTGATAGACTGCATTACGGATGCTTGCCCGGTCGCGTAGCTCATCGACGGTGTCCAAGGTCCGGCAAAGGTTTTGGTTGTTGGCTTTCTCATCTGCCCATTGGAGCCTAGTGGACGAAACTGATAATTCGGTCGGGATGACTCCTTCAGAACCGTATGTGAGGGAGGTCTCGCCTATTGACGAGTGAGCTGTAGTTCGGTAGGACTAAAGGGCTCCGAGTAGCTCATCTGCCCATACGCCCTTCGCTTTCTGTAGTCGATTTTTTAAGGTCTGCATGATGGTTTTATTCAATGACTCGGCCTGGCCGTTGGACTGGGGTTGCGGGGGGTGGAGAAGTTGAGCTTGATCCCCCACATGTCGCAGAAATCCCTGAAGCCTGAACTGATAAACTGGGATCCATTGTCGGTGACGATTTCCTTTGGTATCCCAAACCTGCAGATGACATGTTTCCAGATAAAAGTTTTTACTTCTCGGTCTCTGACTTGTGTAAAAGCCTCGGCTTCAATCCATTTAGTGAAGTAATATGTCACAGCCAACAGGAAAACTCATTGCCCGGGTGTGGTCGGTAGCTTTCTCACTATATCCATTCCCCATTTCATGAAGGGCCAAGGTGTGATGATAGAGTGGAGTCGCTTGGGTGGGAGGTGTGAGACATGAGCGAATCTTTGACAACTGTCGCACTTCTTAACATAAGCAGTCGAATCAGTGCGTATGGTTGGCCAATAGTATCCAGCGGTGATCACCTGATGAGCCAGACTGCGTCCCCCTACATGGTTTCCACATTTGCCTTCATGGAGTTTGGCGAGAACACGTTTGGCCTCTTCGGGGCCGGTGCACTTGAGGTAGGGACCGGACAATGAATTCCTGAGGAGTTGGCCTTCATATATGGTGAACCTGGCGACTCTTGCTCTCAGGCGGCATGCTTCATTTTTGTCAGCCGGGAGCTCGTTGTTTTCCAAGTACTTCACTATCGAGTTCATCCAGTAGTCAGCTAGCTCAATGTCCATTGTTTCCTCGAGTGACTTATTTGCTGGTTGTTCCTTCTAGTTGGCTGGCCATTGTAGGAATAACAGAGGGATGGATGATTGGGAAGAACATTGAAGCGCTGAGCCGAGGTTAGCTAGGGCATCAGTATGAGAGTTCTCCACTCTTGGCACTTAGGCGATGGAGAATTCTTCGAATTAGGTCTGTAATTCTTTGACCAGGTTCAAGTAGGCTGTCATCTTCAAGTTGCATGCCTGGTAAGTACCTTACTCCTGGTTGACCATGAGTTGGGAGTCGGACTTCACCTCCAGTCTCCTTGCTCCGATTTCTTTGGCCAGGGAGAGTCCAACGATGAGGGCCTCATATTCGGCTTCATTGTTTGTGCACTTGAACCCACATCGTATTGCCCGTCGGATGATGTCTCCTTTTGGTGTAGTCAGTATGAGCCCGAGCCCGAGCTCAAGCCTGAGCCCAAGTCTGAGCTCGCTTCCATTCACGTTGCTTGAGCCATCCACTGAGAGGGTCCACTTGGAAGGTGACCCACTGTGCATGCATAGTAACTCTCTTTCTGCCTAGATGGTGGTGCTCGAGGTGAAATCAATAGTGAAGTCTGCCAATGCTTGGGAGTTGACGGTAGTACGAGACTGGTATGATATGTCAAACTCACTAAGCTCTACTGTCCATTGCGTGAGTCGACCTGATAGCTCTGGTTTGTGCAGTATCTTCTTGAGTGGGAATGAGGTGAGTACGACTATAGAGTGGCACTGAAAGTACGGCCTGAGCTTCCTGGATACATGGATAAGTATGAGGGCCAGTTTCTCCAGCTGATTGTACCGTGTTTCTGCGTCGAGGAGCGACTTGCTCACATAGTAGACTGGAAGCTGCTTCGCTTCCTCTTCCCGAACTAACACTACTGAGATAGTCGTCTTTGAGACCGCCAGATAGGTGTAAAGCTTTTCCCCATCCACAGGCTTGGAAATGAGCGGAGGGGAGGTCAAGTACCTTTTCAATTGTTGCAAGGCTTCTTCGCAGGAGGGGGTCCACTTAAACTTGTTAGACTTCTTGAGTGCATGGAAGAAAATGTGGCACTTGTCGGCGGATCTGAAGATAAAATGGCTCAAGGCAGCTACTCGTCCTACAAGGCGCTGGACGTCTTTGATGCAAGTTGGGGATGGTATACTGAGGATTGCTCTGATCTGGTCGGGTTTGGCTTCTATCCCTCGCTGAGTTACCATGTAGCCCAAGAATTTACCTAACGAGACGTCGAATGAGCATTTGGCTGGATTCAACTTCATGTTATACTTTCTTAGGAAGGCAAATGCTTAGCTGAGGTGGTCAAGGTGCTGTTCGGCTATTAGGGACTTAACAAGCATGTCGTCGATATAAACCTCTATAGTGTCCCAGAGGTATTCGGCAAACATTTTGTTGACTAGCCGCTGATAGGTAGCCCCGCCATTCTTCAGACCGAATGGCATCACCTTGTAGCAGCAGGTTCCCCTCTCCGTGATAAAGGTTGTCTTCTCTTGGTCGTCCCGATGCATCAAGATTTGGTTGTACCCTGAGAAAGCATCCATGAAACTAAGGAGCTCGTGGCCTGGGTCGCATCAACCATCATGTCGATATGTGGGAGCGAGAAGGAATCCTTAGGGCATGCTTTGTTTAAGTCCGTGAAGTCGATGCAGACTCTCCACTTTCCGTTCTTTTTTTTTACAACCACGATGTTTGCCAGCCATTCGGGGTAGTGGACCTCTCTGATCATACCGTTGCTTAGTAGCTTTTCAACCTCTTCATTGACAATCCGGTTGCACTCTGGTGCGAATTTCCTTATCCTCTGCTTCACTAGCTGGTGATCCGGATCTACCTTGAAGCGGTGGACCATTGCCTCTGGATTGATCCCTGTCATGTCGGCGTGGAACCAGGCGAAATAGTCTTAGTTCTGTCTGAGGAACTCTATCAGCTTCTCTCTTGTCTCGGGCCCGAGGCAGGAACTTATGTGTGTTTTTCTCTCGGGGTCGTCCGGATGTAACTGTACTTCATCTAACTCTTCCATAGATGGTTGATCCGGCTCGGTCGAAGGGGTTGGATGAGACTGTAATTGCTATGAAGCGTTACCCTTACCCTTAAAGGCGTTCTTGTAACAATCTCTGGAAGCTTTTGGGTCGCCCTTGATTTCTTGTACTCCCCATTTGGTAGGAAACCTGATCGTTTGGTGGAAAGTGGATGGGACCGCTCACATGTCGTGGATCTAAGGTCAACCCAAGAAGACATTGTATGGTGAAGGACAATCGATCACTAGAAATAGGGTCTGCTTGTTTACTCCGCTGGCGTAGATAGGAAGGACGATCTCTCCGATGGTGTAATTTTGCTCAGAACTAAACCCAACCAGTAGGGTCAGCCTTCTGTTGATGTTTGCTTCTTCTAGACCCGTAGTCTTCACTGCTTCAAGGAACAGAATGTTTACTGATGATCCCCCATCTATGAATACCCTCTTGACCAGAATATTGGCGATCTGGAGAGAGACGACTAAAGCATCGTGGTGAGGTGCTGCCAGGGTGACCGGCTTGTCATCTTCAAACTGAATTACCTGGTGGGAATGTGACCGAGAGGACGAGTGGATAGATTGTATTTCATGGTGGTTATTGGCTCTGGCGTAGCGTTTGGCTGAAGAGTAACTTACCCCACTGAACTCTGACCCTCTTGAGATGATATTGCAAAATCCTTTTGGCGTAGGTTCTTGCGAAGGTGGAGATTTTTCTTTCGTGCTTTTCTAGCTGATGGTACCTTTATCTGTCAACAGATCTCGGAGATGTCCTCTCTTCAATAGTACGGCAACCTCCAACCGCAGGGCAATGCAGTTTGGGGTGTTATGTCCATGGTCGCCGTGGAACTCGCACCACTTGGACGTGTCTCTCCTTGCTTCATCATTTAGCTTGCCTCGCCACTTAACACCAGATCCCATTCCTTTCATGTTCGCCACCACCTGGGCTGGTTCGACGTTGAGGTTGTACTTTGGGATTTTGTATCGGGTTGGTCTAGTTGGTCTGTTGTCGGTTCTAATTGGCTGGCGGTCATATGGTTTTCTTACTCTGTTCTGGTTACGAGGAGGGGGCTGGTGATGGGGTTCAATCGATCTAAATTCTGGCCTTCTATCATTCCGCCTTGGGTCATACCTAGTGTGTATTGCCCGATTCATCTCATCTTCTTCCCACCTTATCTGAATCACTGCTCTGGCCAAGGCGTCCTCCATCGTGGTGCAGCCAAGCTTCGTCAGCTCTTTGTACAATTTTTCATCTTGGAGGAGACCCTTCCTGAAGGCATCTACGGCTGTCTCGGGGTTACAAGAAGGGATGGAAATTTTCTCTTTGTTGAATCTGCCGACATACTCTCTCAGTGGCTCCCCCCTTCTCTGGTATACTCTGTATAGATCAGCTGAGAGTTTCTCGAGTTTTTTGCTACTGGCGAACTGCTCCACGAAGGTGTCGGTGAGCTGTACGAATGAGTCGATGGAACCGTTCGGGAGATTGGTATACCATTGAAGTGCTGGACCAAATAAACTTGAACCAAAACTCTTACACATGCAGGTTTCCCTCAACGCTTGGGGTATCGAAATAGTGAACATTCGCTGCTTGTACGAGGCTATGTGATCATCTGGGTCGGTTGTGCCGTCGTAGGGCTTCATGCCAAGGATAGTAAATTTGTGGGGCATGTCAGCTAGGGCGATCGCATCTACAAAAGGTGAATCGGCGTAGCAGTGGGGCCTGCTCTTCTTGGTGGGGATCGGCATTCTTAGTATGCGCCTCCTCAATGCCTCTACATCAACCAGTCACTTGGCCAAAATTTGTTCCATGGGAGAGGGTGATACCACTAGGTCATCCCATTTGAGTTGGTCAGCCATTGCATTCGACAAATTTTGTTAGGTCATTCTGCGTGGTGTAGCCTGGTGCATCATTCCTTCATGTATTGCCTGGTAGCTTGGATCACCGTTCACTCCCTTCGGTTGGATGACTCCCATTGTAACTGATCGAGTGTTTCGCCCTACATGAATAGTCAAAGGGGTTGTTTGGTACTCGCTCGGTCCGTCGGGATGGATGGACTCGAGCAGGATGGTTTGATTTGGGTGGCCGTTTGACCCGTGAGGGTAAGCCGAGCTGAATGGGTTTTGTGTAGGAATGGTTGACTAGAGGTGAGGTGGGATGGCTAGGATGGGTGGTTCTTAGTAGAGTGGGCTTTCTGTCACTTGGACGCCTTGATCTTGTGATTGAGGTGGTTCGGCAGAGTGGGGTTTCGTTGGCAGATCTTTTTCTCCATGGGTCAAGATCGAATCGTCGACCACCGACAAACATAGTTAACGCGACCTTTTATCTGAAGCCATAGGTCTGGGCTCTGGGGTTTGGAGAGGTTGCATAGATGGAACCGAGGCGCGAAATCGATTGGGTGGTACCTGAGAAGGCAGAAGCTCAAGGTCATAAAACTAACTTACCTTCTCTTTCAGAGACTGGTTTTTGGCCCTGATGGAGGTGTTTTCGGTCCGGATGGCAGTGTTCTCAGCTTATCTAAGTTCTGCTGCATAAGGGCATTCAGAGCTTCCAGTTTGGCCTCGAGGCCGGGGTTAGTGTTATCAGAATTGTCAGCCATGGAAAGTTCCTTTACGTAGCAGGGTTTGTTGAACTGAATGATTGCTAGAAGCCCCATAATGGGCGCCAAACTGTAGACGTAAAAATCTACATGTGAGGAAGGAGGGACTGATCCCGTGAGGTTGAGGCCACTAGCGATCTGCTGTACTTGCACACGTAAAGAAACAAACATGAAGCGACGAAAAAAATCGGGGTGGTGTTTGCCGTAGGTACTCCGACGCTCAAGTCAACAAGGCTAAAAGAGGCTGATTCAGTGAGGGCTAGGGAGTAGAGAGGTTACCAGAAGTCTAGTCGGGGACTATGACTACGGCTGTAATGTGAAGTTCTCAAGCAGGAACTCCAGGGGCCGAAGGTGTAATGTCATATATCCTGTGAGAGGGCTGGCCTCTATTTAAATAGTGACAATTTCTATTTTGTTAGTAAACAGTCACCTAATCATTCGAATTTACAATTTTATGAGTCGATGAAAAATTTTCTAATCATCCTCTTATAATCTATTTTTATATTTAATGGTAAGAGATTTTTGTTAATTTAATCTGATCTCATAGGATAATTTTAACTAGCCAATAATCTCTATAACCGAATATTTACAAGAGTTTATGAATTGCCACCCTTAAGATTTGGTGTAAAATATCCTCACTCTGAGGATGTGTTTGGTTAGAGCTCTGGAAAGATAACTCTCGTAATTTATCTTTAATTCCGGACATTCCCTTGCTTGGTTGTCAAGTAATAAAAGATTTCGGTAATCTTTCAATACCAATAGTGAGTACTGTGGGTTAAATATGGGGTAATCAGGTTACCTCCTCAAGGGGTGGTATTTAAAGATTATCAGGGTAATCTTAATTAAATATCATTCCGAACACAATTGCTCTCAAATGTCTACCAAATAACAATCAGCCTAGACCCCCTACATTTTAGAATTTAGCTAAAGTACCCCAGTCACAAAAAGTTTAAAATTTAACAAAATATCCCCAACTACCAAAGACCACAGCTGGCCGCCAGCCACCACCACTGGCCACCGGCAATAGTCACCAGATTGATGCACGACTAGCGGGATTTGGTCGATTGTGCGTCGATCTGGATGTTTTCAGCTAGATCGAAGGCCAAAAACGGCAAGATCGCCGTGAATCTGGCCGGAAACGACCCAAATAGATCGACTGTTTATGGCTGTTTCTGATAAGATCCATGAAGATTTGGCTATTTTCGGCCTTCAATCTGGCCGAAAACAGCAATATCAGTGTGGATTTGGTTGGAAACAGCCAGATCGTTGTGGATTTGGCTACTTTCGGCCAGATCCACAGTGATCTAGCTGTTTTCGACCTTCGATTTGGCCGAAAATAGCCAAAACGGCACACGGCCAACCTAATCTCGCTGATTGTGCACCGTTTTGGTGACTGATGCCGGTGGCCGGTGGTGGTCTTGGTGGTATTTTCTTAAAATTTAAACTTTGTTGTTGAAGGTGTTTTAGCTAAATTTTCAAATATAGGGGGTTAAAAGAATTTATTTAAATAATAATAATAATATAATTATACTGATATTAAAAATGAAAGGCAATTCAGTAAAAGCTATTGTCGATAATATTTTATTCTTTCCAACAAAACATCTTAATTATTTATACCCACTAATCTAACGAAACATATTGATATAACATTCCCCCGTAATCTTCAAGGCAATCTATCTCGATGGTAATCTTACCTTTTCAGCAACAAAACATTCCATGAACCAAACGCACCCTGATTGTGACGCATTAATTTTCATCCTCAAATGATGGTTCCACTAATTAAATCTAATGAATAACTTATAAGCAATTAACCACCATTGGGTGGTCGAGTGGCCAACTAGAACTCTTAGGCATATTACTCAAGATGTCCCGAGTTCGATTCATCTCGACCCCTAATAAGAGTGGCCATTATAGCTCTTACCCGACCGGTAATTCCAAGGTCTTGGAAGATTAGTTGAGGTGCATGCAAGCTATCCCGGTCGTCCCGTGACCTAGAAAAAAAAAACTTTTAAGCAATTTAAAAGATATTTTAAATAAACGATTAATGGCTTAAGTCAAACGACTGATTTTTTTACATTAACAAATTATAACAATATAAAAAAAATACATGTATCAAGGTTTTATCTAAGATATTGTTTCTTCCCTTGGACCTAATTTAAAAAAGAGTAATTCTATATTTACATCATATTTTTACAGCATTCTCTTACCTTATGACATGGCAGCTGACATGGCAGTGTCATTTCATCTGCCACGTCACTTTCCCAAAAATTTCCCTCCCAAAATTTATAAAAAAAAAAAAAAAAAAAAATTCATTACCCTAAATTTCGAATTTTAACATAACCAACATCAATATTTTTTTTTTTTTTTGTTTTCACGAGACTTGCATTCTGTTTCATTTGCTGGTCTTCTTTTTGTTAAGCAATCCCAAAGGGCTAGGTTGTTGATTTGTTAGGAATGTATATCATTGCTTCTCTTTGATGATTTTGTGGTGATTTGTTTGCTGGATTTGTCCAACGAATTAGATGTTTAAGGGGAACCCCTTTCTTAGCGTTTTTTCTTTCATTCATCTATTAACAAAAAAAAAAAAATCCTTTTGTTCCATTTATAAAATTACCTTTACCCCAAAAGGAAAAATTCATTTTGTTTCGTTTCACCTAAGTTTTGCCTTCAATGTTTATTTGGTTGCTTCTTGAAGTGGCCCCATGTTTGCCTTTGCTTAGACATGTACAAATTTTTTACCAAATTAACCAAATAGTAGCCTATATTTTCAAGAGTATTTCATCCATGTCTTCCTATTATTTACAAGCTATCCCCATGTCTGCCAAGATATGGCCGTCGTTGACGACCAGATCTGGTTGGAAAAGACCAGATCTACAACTAAAGATCTGGTCGAAAAAGGCCAGATCGACACACGATTGGCCACATCTAGTCAGTCGTGTGTCATTCTGATAGATTTCGACCACCTTCCTATGGTGGTGGTCGGTTGTCGATAATATATGAGTGGATGTGGGGTGTTTTTGTCAATTTATAAACTTTTATTGTTGGGAATGTTTAGTTAAATTAACAAACCTAGGGGTTAAAAGAATCTAAATATTTTGAGTTGAATAGAAGATGATTGAATTTTGAAAATATTGAAACAAATATGTATTTTGATGGGATTGGATATGATATAGTTTGAATAGGGAAACAAAGACGGCCGTACACCTCTACTATTTTGCATTGTGGCCAACTTCTTTGACATCAACGGTGAAACGACATCGTTTGTCACAGCCTAAATACGAATGGGACAAAAAATAGAGAGTATACGATTTCTTCCTAGCATCAGCAGGAGCAGCAAAATCAAGTTTGACCTTTGACTTCCTTTGGTTGCAGGAAATTCTGGAAGCTCTTGAGAAGGAGAAGCCCCACATGTGTACATTTTGGATGCCAAAAGAAGCCACATCTAACTAGAAAAGGCTGTTTGGACATTTAGATGAAATAAAATGAATGAATGATGAAATTCTGGATGCTTGTTAGCTTCTGACCTATCCTCTTTGTGAGAGTGCCGTCCTAAACTGAAATCTCCTCAGCAAACAAGTGGAGCCGCTGGTTTGAAGATGAATTGCAAGTCTA